GCCAGAAACCTGTTTTCAGCAGCCCAGGCCTCAGAGCTAAAGCTGGCCCAGAATAAAAAAAAAAGAAAAAAGAAAAAAGGAGCGGTTGGGAGCTTCAGTCACCCGTCAGCCTGAAAACAGCCCTCAGCCCCTCAGCCAGACTGGCCAGGCACCCCAGTGGGGAATCCCACCCTGAAGGGTGTGTGACCAGCTGCAAACAGCCATCATCCCCTCAGCCAGACTGGCCAGGCACCCCAGTGGGGACTCCCACCCTGATCCAGGACACACTTCAGGGCAAGCCAGCCAGCCCCCACCCGTGCACCAGGCCTCTATTCTATATAGTAAAAGGGTAATATGCCTCCCGGCACCAGGATCAGTGGAGCTGCGAGGCCTCCCGGCACCGGGATCAGCGTGACAGGGGGCAGCACCCAAACCCCCTGATCGCCCTGCGGCTCTGTGTGTGACAGGGTGCAGCGCCCTAACCCCTTGATCGGCCCTGCTCTGTGTGTGACAGGGGGCAGCGCCCCAACCCCCTGATCCGCCCTGCTCTGTGTGTGACAGGGGGCGGCGCCCCAACCCCTCCCCCCCACGGGCCCTGCTCTGTGTGTGACGGGGTAGAGCCATAACCTCCCCATCGGCCCTGCCCTGAGTGTGACAGTAGCGACGCCCCAACCCCCGATCGGCCCTGCTCTGTGGGTGATAGAGGGCGGCGCGCCAACCCCCTGATCGGCCCTGATCTGTGTGTGACGGGGGGCGGTGCCCCAATCCCCCTGATGGGCCCTGCTCTGTGAGTGACAGTGGGGAGCTCCTCAACCCCCTGATCGGCCCTGCTGTGTGTGTGACAGGGTACGGAGCCCCAACCCCCCTGATGGGCCCTGCTCTGTGCATGACAGGGGGCAGCGCCCCAACCCCCTGATCCGCCCTGCTCTGTGCGTGACAGGGGGTGGCGCCACAACTTCCCTATCGACCCTGCCTTGAGTGTGACGGGGCAGTGCCCCAACCCCCCAATCGGCCGTACCCTGAGCGTGACTGAGGGTGGCATTGCAACCTCCCAATCCGCCCTGCTCTGTGCATGACAGGGGGCGGCGCCCCAACTCCCCAATCAGCCTTGCTCTGAGCCCGACCGTAGTTATGCCTAGACATGAGCTGCACCTAGGGATTGGGCCTTCCCTCTGCCACCCGGGAGCAGGCCTAAGCCAGCAGGTCGTTATCTCCCGAAGGGTCCCAGACTGCGAGAGGGCACAGGCCGGGCTGAGGGACCCCCTCTCCCACCCCCCCCGAGTGCACAAATTTTTGTGCACCGGGCCTCTAGTTCCATTAATAAGTAAAATTATAACAGAGGCCTAAAATTTAGTAGATTTGGAAAATTACAACTGCATGGGCAGTAGGAAAGCTGGGGGTATTCTAAGCTCATCAGTCAGTAAAAACTTCAGTGAGCAGCAGAACAATGGCCGCCTCTGATAGTGCCTTGCATTCCTGGTAGGCTTTTCTGCTTCAAACCATTCATTCACATTCTGAGAATAGACAGCTGGTAAGAAATGATGTGGCAAGAGAGCAAGTGTGGCCTTGCTTACACAAGCACCTTATGTAAATTCTCCTCCACTGGAGCGTCTGCCCCTGGTGGTCATCGTGCATCATAGCGACCGGTCATTCTGCCGGTCATTCTCTGTTCGGTCGATTTGCATATTAGGGTTTTATTACATAGGATTATATCTGGAGAATACTATGGTTTTAAAAATAGTTACATAAAAAATAAAATATTTGTAAGTGTACTCCCATAATACCTAATTTCATTATTCATGACTAGAGGCCTGATGCATGACATTCATGCACTGGGGACGGGGAAGGAGGGAGGGGGGGTTCCTCAGCCAGGCTTGTGCCGTCTTGTAGTCCGGTACCCCTCAGGGGATGTCTGCCTGCTGGCTTAGGGGAGTGGGCCTTAGCACTGCCATGGAGGCAGGAGAGACTCCCGCTACCACCTGTGAGCTGGCTTCTGGCTGAGCAGCGTTCCCCCTGTTGATCAGTGCGTCATAGTGACCGGTCATTCCACCATTTGGTCAATTTGCATATTAGGGTTTTATTATATAGGATTAGAAAATACTTATAATACTGGGAAGTTTTGTAGAAATTAGGATAATTATATCTTGAAGGGGACTTAACTGGAAATATAGGTCCACCTTAGGACAAAAGTTACCTCAATAGGAGTTTCTGACATTATTACTGCCTTAAAGTGATGCCACTACTACTCCAAATTAAATAAGGTGGGCTCTTGCTGGTTTGGCTCAGTGGACACAGTGTGGACCTGCAGACTGAAGGGTCCTGAGTTTGATTCCGTCCTGAGTTTGATTCCGGCCAAGGGCACGGACCTCAGTTGCAGGCTCCTCCCATCTCGGGTGGTCAGGCGTGTGTAGGAGGCAACCAATCAATGTGTTTCTCTCACGTCAATAGTTCTCTCTGTCTTTCCCTCTCTCTAAAAATCAATGGAAAAATATCCTTGGGTAAGGATAAAAAAAAAAGTGGAATTTTTAAATCCCAAGTTTTTGGATCTAGGTTGTAACTGTCTGCTGCCTCTTCTTTGGTGGTATTTTCATATAACACAATGAGTTCAAGTAAACAACTCAAACGGGGAAACAAGAAAAGTTTTCTTCATAGATAAGGTAAAGTCAAAGTACTTCTCAGGTATTCCTTAAAGTTAACACCACCCACCTTTCACTTTATTAACCTATTATTTCTTCCCTTTGGGGGATAAAGATTAACCCAAAGCCCAACTCTGGTCCTCCCTGGGTTCCTAAAGAAGGAAGATTATAAAGTAAAAGAAAATAAAAGACTTAAGGAAAATGAAGCAGAGAAGTTGAGTGCCTAGAATTAGGTCATCTGACCTTCATTTCAGTGCATTTCAGTGACCTTTTTGGGGGGGTCAGGCTTACCTTCTTTGACTCTGTTAAAACAAACTATACCGATCTACTGGCATCCTCCTGTGCTCTGTTATCTATGTATCCTGACTTCTTTCTATGCAACTGAATGAAATGGTATTCCCAGCCATTTCCCCCTGGACCATGTCATGCATTTCTTTCACATTCCTAGAAAACCCTGGTCTGCTAGGACAAGCTGAGATGTCCATCCCCTTTGCCTCTTCAAGAATTTACAATACATATTTCCAAGTTAAAAATGAATGCTATCTGGGCCCAACAGTCTGTCCTATAGTACAAACTTTAAAATACTCAGTATCTTACATTTAAAACAGGAACAACTCCCAGGTTGTCAGGAGAAGACTGGAAAACATGTTATTTCCATGGCCTAGAGAAGTTGAGATGAGACAACTATCCAAAAAGTAATTCCACTTTTAACAAAAACCCTCAGGTAAGTGTTCTCTTAGAGGCTTATGAGACTGAAGCCACAATATATTCATCAAGTATGCACCAAAGTATGAAAAATGAATAACATTTACATGAACTACTTAGATAAAATAAGGTATATGTTAAGAAAGGAACTAAATTTGAAAAAGGAAACATAGATAATAAAAAATGAAAAAATTAATGACTGACTGACCAGAGGTAAATTCTAAGGGAGAAATGCAAATTATTTTGTTTAGACATGAGTTATATGGAATCAGCTTTAGGATTTTACTAAACAAAACGGAAAATATGCACCTTTTACATTAGTGTTTCTCATTAATTATTTTTGATTACCAATTTCAGAAATAATCGATTTTGGCTAGCATGGATGTTGTAACTCTGGATAACGATCTTTGTAGGAGCCACAGAACTTTCTATCCTCTTATTTGGGACTCCAAATCTTTTAGGGGAAGTAGCAGAGTTAAAGTATGAACTGCATTCTTAGCTATAAAAGTCTTATAATGTGATAGGTAGACCTTTTGTTAAGAATCCATTTATCTGTAGTAGTTGTACTACTAAAAGCATGCACTTACCATGTGCTAAATGAATTACTTTAGTCCCTCATACAATCTTATAATTATTATTATCATTCCCATGTTACACATGGGAAAACTAAGGCAAGTGAGGTTATATCATTTACTTACTAACATTACTAACATAATTGGCAGCAGGCAGAGCTAGGATTCATACATAGCTCTGCTTTCACAGCTTGGACTCTCAAACCTCTAAGCCAGTGGTTCTCAACCTTGGCTGCACATTAGAATCACCTGGGAATCTTTTTAAAATCCTGATTTCTGGGCCTCATCCTCCGGAAATTCTGTTTCTTTGTTATGGGGTGGGGCCACAACATTTAGTAACAAAGAAACAGAATTTCCGGAGGATGAAGCCCAGAAATCAGGATTTTTAAAAGATTCCCAGATGATTCTAATGTGCAGCCAAGGTTGAGAACCACTGCTCTAAGCCATAGCAGCAAATCAAATTGTAGACAAGGCTAATCATACCTAGTCTGAGTTGCATGTAGGAGTTTTGTTGAACAATGAAAACATGAGAAAAGCGTTAGGAGTCTTAAATGACCAGCGTTTTGCAATTCAGTAGCTGACACATAGCTGGCACTTAAGCAGACTGCAGGGACCCTCCGAATCCCTCAGTGTAGTGTTCTTCATTCCATTTAAGAAGGAACAGAGCCCAGTAATGTTGAGAACTTTACCAAATCATTCAGTTTGTTAGAACCTATCTCCCTTCACATTTCTATGCAGTGTTCTTTCCACTGTAATGTCTGCAGTAATCAGCTGGTTACAAGAATTTCTGCATTTCCAAAAACAATTTGAACACTAGAACGCTAGAGCTGGAACTGGAACTCTGTTGAAGAGAATATATCTTGAAATAAGTTAAAATGCAACTTAGAAATCTTTTAGTTGCATATGATGTTACTTTAAAATATTCCAACCAGGGTGATTTTTCAACCAAAATCATCCTATAAGGGAGGTTACTTAAAAATTTTAATTTGAAAGTCATTTTTAAAGCCTAGGCTTTATTAATAGCCAGATAATTAGTATAATAATTAGCTACGTAATTATATTGCAGAATTCTAAAATAATTAAATAATCGGGAGGGAAGCAATTTTACCTTACTAAATTTTGCTGCATATTTTCGACCTTCATTAAAATTTGGACCCCAGTCTGAGAGCGAATGTAGGCTTTCAATCTGAAATAAAAATATCACATTAAAAAAGCAATTTTTAATATATTTCAAACTAGTGTCATAGAAGGGCATTTATGAATAGCTAACAATTTTTTTTTTTTAATATATTTTATTGATTTTTTACAGAGAGGAAGGGAGAGAGACAGAGAGTCAGAAACATCGATGAGAGAGAAACATCGATCAGCCGCCTCCTGCACATCTCCCACTGGGGATGTGCCCGCAACCCAGGCACATGCCCTTGACCGGAATCGAACCTAGGACCCTCCAGTCCGCAGGCCGACGCTCTATCCACTAAGCCAAACCGGTTTCGGCCAATAGCTAACAATTTTTAAAATTTATCTATACCAGCATAGAGAAAAGGTGAAATGCATTTTCTAACCAAGGATCTGAATTTTTGAAAGGTACCTTTCTCACCCTGGCTGGTGTTGCTCAGTAGTTAGAGTCAGTCCACGCACCAAAGGGTTGTGGGTCCGATTCCTGGTCAGGGACACATTACCTGGATTGCAGGTTTGAATCCCAGTTCTAGTTGGGGTGCAGTGCATATGGAAGTCAACCAATCGAATTATTATTTCTCTCTCTCTCTCTCCCTCTCCCCCCACCTTCCACTCTCTCTGAAAAAAAAAAAAAAAATCAATGGAAAAAATATTCTGAGGTAAGGATTAACAACAACAAAATTACCTTTTTTACCTTTCTGTATAATTAAAGAACTTAAATTAAAAATAACTATTTCAGTAATTCATCTTGCTATTTAATTTCTTTAATGTATGCAACTAAGTGGCAAGTATTTTGTGTTATTGCCAGATATATGAACAATAACAACAACTGGATTCTCAGTAATTACAATGAAACGACTATTTTACCTATCCCAAGACACTGTTTGATATGTGACATGGATCTGATTCAGTCTTGGGCTCTACCTTTTATCAAAAGTACATGCTGAGATTTAACTAGAACTGAATCAGACATTTCAGAATCCACTCAGTATAAATTTTAAACACCAAGTTACTGGAGCCAAACCAAGCATTCATATCCCAAGCAGGTACCATCTGGTGAAAAGAAAGTCAACTGGGTTCCTGCCTAGGAACACTAATAACAAGCATTCTAATAATAGTTCCCTTTTTAAAGCACTGCCTAATATGGGCTAAGCCTTGTAGTAGGAACTTATATATGCTGTTTTTTAAGCTTCATAAGAATCCTATCTAGTAGATTATCATCAATCTCATATTAATAATGGAAAAAATTAAGGCCCAGAAGTGAAGTAACTTACCCCTGATCACATAGCTTATAAGGAACTAAGCTAGTTATTCTAACCAGACCTTCATTACTGATTCTTTCCACTATGCTATGTTAATTATTTTTGTCCATGCTGTATTTTTGGACAGGAGACAGAGTATATCTTACTTAGTTTTATGAAGACTTGGCTGAAACAGGATTTCCTGCCTATAATAGTTAGTTGGAAACTCCTAATTTTCAGTTTTGGGTTCAACCTGAAAGGCATTTTGGTTTAAGGGTTAAGAGTGTAGACACTGACTCCAGACTGCCTGGGTTTGAATCCCAGTTTCCCTGATTAGCTACATGAAGTCACTTAACCTCTTTATGGCTCAAATTTCCCTTCTGTGAAATGGCTATAATACCAGTAATCTACCTTAATGGGTTATTGTGAGGTTTAAATGAATTAATACATTTATCATTATCTGTTTCAAAGAGTCTGGAACACAGTACAGAGTAAGTACAGACTACTGTTATAACTATCCAAAAGCAGCATCTCTGACTGACAAATCCTTGAGAAAAAAACCAAGGAAATGGAGCAGAAAGTAAATGGCACTGACATATCACATTCTAATAAAGTCATGACTTCCCATATTAAATATGCACATAACAAATATCTCGACATTTTAAATAATTCAGAAAGTGAAAAGATTTTAAAAACATACCTTTGACGAATTACAGGATCAGACTTTTCTGGGTCAATGTAAGTTGCTAAGATTTCATTAATAGTTTTATCATCGGGTACTCTTTGCAACAAAGAAAACAAAAACGAACTTATTATTTATAATTTTCTACTAAAGGTGTTAACTTAGAATTACTAAATCTTACAGTGTTTTTGTTTAAGTAATTGAACACAGACCTTTTATTTTACTCTTGGAAAAATATAATGGCTTGTTAAGCATAAATTACTTAGAAAAATAGCTTTAAAAGATTTCTTGGACACAAATAACAACATCTTAAAAAACATTATTTGAGAAGATCCCTATAAATTAATCACAAAAATATGAAGCCTCTTTTAACACGCACCTATGCTCAAAGATGAAAAGGAAGAAGTCAGGATGAAATACATTTGAAAGTTGTAGAAATAAAAAACCTGAAAAAAGGTTTCAGATGATGCTAATTTCAGTGCATGTTCAAGTTTATTCATTACAAATCATAAGACTGGGTTAAAAATTGGATACTGCTTTCTCTGGAAACAAAGCATTTTAGGTTTCCCAACTTTTCTATATGTATTGTTCTAACTATAAAGCTGTAGAAACAAAACTAAGACAATGTTTTGAACTAGTAACTAAAAGTTGCAAGGCAACATTTAAAATGTAAAATGCGTAAAATGGCAAATATGTAACTTTTCTCAATCGTTTACACATATTCTTATATACTATTTTGCTAAATAGCCCTATCTGAAAAATTTAAGTCTTTTTACTGTCTCTCATTTGGTATGCAACCTTCAAATAAAGTTTTTCAACTAAAATCTATATGACACTGATAAGAAGGGGAACTATCTATTATATTTAGATATATGCTAAATATATTAATTAAAAAGCAACTTTAAAATTTTCATAACTCAAGGAATCAAATTGTATACAACCATTAAAACTTTTAAATGATACTTGAAAATGTTCACAATATGGAAAAAGGATAAAAACTACTTATGTAACTTAATTCCAATTATGAGTATACATATGTACATTTCTAAAATAATGTATTTGCTGCAGACACACATTACTAATAGTAGTAATCCCTGCTGATGTTTGCATTTCGTTGGATCAATACACCACAACTTAGTTATCCACTCTACCACTAACACATTTATTGACATCACATTTAAGTTAACAAGTTCTTAATAGACAGTGGTGATGCTATACCTTTTTTCTATGTACACAGCTTGACTCTGAGGAAACTGGAGCTTCACATGCCAACAAAACTGTTGTTTTCTAAGAGAGAAAATAATCACGTGAGGCTCAAGATAGTCAATAAAAGTATGAACACAAATCAAACTTCCTAAATTTTTGTTTTCAGAGAAAAATTCTAAAAGTATTCTTAGATTTTAACATGTATTTTCTATTAAGAGTTATTACTCTTTTCTAGGATTCTTAGAGGCTATGTTTTTAAACAATATACTTGGAAGAGTTTTTAAGGAGAAAAAAATGAAGTGAAACAGTTCTGAATTCCAAAGACTTCACATTCCCGAATTAGAAGGCAATTTCTCATAAATCAGGGGCATTTGAGATCAGTGTGCTACTACTTAAAGTTTACAAATAAAATTTCCTCATGGCTAAATACAATGAGCTGATGTCTCTGCCTGACTAGTCTGGAAATTAGGTGAATGAAGTATTGTCTGGTTGAGACCAGCTGGCCGCAGATACACTTATGAGCCATGAGTATGTGCATTCAGTAGCAAAACAGCAGACAAGTCGGTTGCTAAGCAGAATGCACTCTAGGCTAGAGTCCCTTTGCTTTCAAGTCTAAACTTTGATACAGGATTGACAGTAATAAATAAATGTCTGATTTTAGAAAAATGACCATATGTTCTATTTAACATATCTAAATTTGGTAACACTAGACACCATTCCTTTAAAAAAATATTTAACGCTGCTCAAAACATTAATCCATCACAGAAATTTAAATATCTTCACTACATGATGGCTTTACACATTTTTTTCCTTGCTTACAAGAAATTTCTAACAACCCACTTGCCAGTTAATGGCCGGCAGCATGCCAAAGCAATGGTCAGCATCTTCTACAAATCTATGCCTTAGCCACACGGCCCCCAAATCTAAAATAATTTTCGTTTAATACAATTGAGGAGAGTATCTCCAAAAATTTATATGATTTACGTCAGGGGTAGGGAACCTTTTTTTTGCCAAGGGCCATTTGGATATTTATAACATCACTCATAGGCCATACAAAATTATCAACTTAAAAATGAGCCTGCTATAATTGGTTAAACATTTAATTAACTCACCTCTAATGCTTTGCCAAGGCCAGATCGAATGATTTTGTAGGCCTTATATAGCCTGCAGGCTGTAAGTTCCCCACCCCTGATTAGTCAAACTTTTTCAAAAGACAATGACTATAAAATCAAGTAAAAATCCTTCTACTAGGGTAATTTATCACAGATCTGTTTATGGAAGTTTTCTTTAATAAAAGGACAGTTTTGGGCACTAGCTAGAAAAAAATATGCTTGATTATGCTTATGTTGATAGTTCCATTTATAAGAAACAATCATTTTAATATTGTTTTGATAGAACAAAGTTGTACAGCACCCTTTACTAATTTAAAGGCCAGATGTCTAATATCTCAGAGGGGAAAAAACACTATAAATTCTGAATGCAGATACAGCAGTTACTGGTTTCAAATAAATAATTCTTCCCAAAGAAAATATCTTGCAATGTTTGTTACCTGTGAAACTGGCATAGTACAATATCACCATCAAGACATTGAGAGTTACCACATTTCTCTCATCATAAGAAATAAACTGGTATTTTAATCTTAATGCATAAGAGTTTCTTTCTAAACATTTTTTTTTCCATGTTAAGTTACAGGGGGAAAACTTATGAACTTGTCATCTTATGGAATTGTAAATCATAATCACCCCAAGTATTGCTTGCGTAATTTCAAGAACCATTTACCTTTCTTAACATTCAGTAGACCCTAAATACCTTCAGAAAGTACTCAACATTCCCAAAACAAGAGAACCCCTGGAAATAATTTTGTTTGCTGCAGTTAACTACTTGTGGTTACAAGGAAGTCAGTCATTACTGTGTAATTATATCGACACTAGAGGCCCGGTGCATGAATTTGTGCATGGGTGGCATCCCTCAGCCTGGCCAGCGATCAGGGCCAACTGGAGCCTTCTGGCCCAGTCCTGATTGGGGCTGGCAGTGGGGAGGCTGGCTGTGGGAGCGCACTGACCACGAGGGGGCAGCTCCTGCATTGAACGTCTGCCCCCTGGTGGTCAGTGTGCGTCATGGCAACCGGTCATAATGGTCACTTAAGCTTTTATATATATAAATATATAAATTAGAGGCCCGGTGCACAAAATTAGTTTACGGGGGGGAGGGGGGTCCTTCAGTCCCGCCTGCACCCTCTCCAATCCAGGATCCCTCTCGCAATCTGGGACCGCTGGCTCCTAACCGCTCGCCTGCCTGCCTGATCAACCCTAACCACGTCTGCCTGCCGGCCTGATCGCCCCCTAACTACCTCTGCCTGTAGGCCTGACCAACCCCTAACCACCACTGCCTGTCCTCCTGGATGCCCCTAACTGCCCTCCCCTGCTGGCCTGGTCACCCCTAACCGCCTCTGCCTTGGCCTCCGCCACCATGGCTTTGTCTGGAAGGACGTTTGATCTAATTAGCATATTACCCTTAGATTGTTAAATTATCTATACTAAAAGGGTAATATGCTAATTAGACCAGACAAGGCAGAGGCGGTTAGGGGCAATCCGGTAGGTAGGCAGAGGCGGTTAGGGGTGATCAGGCAGGCAGGCAGGTGAGTGGTTAGGAGCCAGCGGTCCCAGATTGTGAGAGGGATATCCAAGAGGTCCCGGATTGGAGAGGGTGTAGGCCAGGCTGAGGGACCCTCCCTCCCTCCCCGTGCATGAATTTCATGTACCAGGCCTCTAGTGACTATTATAAAAAAATACTCAATTGACTCATACTCAAATTTAACCAATTTGCCATATTTTTTTCTTCTAAGAAATAAGAGGTTATTGATATGGCTAATGATCCTTTGTACTGTTCCTTAATTCAATTTCCTTCTTATCATCAGAGGTAACTATCTTGAGATTGGGTGTGTATTCTTGCCATATTTAGTTTTATATTATATCTATATCTATCTGTAAACAGTATAATGTTTTGTGTGACATTAACATTTATTTTAATGATTTCATACACTAAATAGCCCATGCCTTGTTTTCAGTTATATTATGGATTTAGAGGTTTATTTATGAAAAATATACATTAGTTCATTATTTTTAACTGTTTGTAAAGTATCCCATTGTGTGAAGAATGTCAAATCTATTTATTCATTCTCTACTGATAGACATTATGACTTCTTCCAATTTTTACCACTTGTTCTTTAATATTAAATCATAGTAAAGAAAAAATAAAAGAATATCCCCAGTGATCAGGCTATCATTTACCTCAACTGATATATAGAACTAACCATTAATTTTTTTAGCCTATAGTAGTAGTATAAGAGGCATTTAAGAACAGTAATTCAGAATCCAGTGTGTGTGTATGTGTGTGTTTTGGGGGGGCAGTAATTCAGAGTAAAAGATTTAAGTAAAGGAATGGGCAAAGAGAGGTTAAAGAGTGTTATATAGGAATTCCTAAAATGAGCAAGTTAATTATCTCTAAACTAGTTTCCAATTCTTTAGTGTTCCTGAAATTGATGTAATCTGACATGGCCAATCAAATCTATTCCTAAGTCTCAAAGATTTAAAAGTTTGTTTCCCATAGTGCATTATTATATACTACTAGAAGCCCAGCACGCGAAATCGTGTGCCCCCCCCCCCCCCCATGCTGGTCATTGGTCATTACAGCATTAGGGCCACTGGGTTTTTATAATATAGATATATAAAAAATACACATAACCAAAATCCCAAACTGTGAATAATGTCTTCTAAAAGAAAATACTTTGTAAAAAAAATTAAGGTTAATGCTTCAGTAAGTATCTTTAGGCGTATGTAAAATTGTTTGCTATATTTTGGATTATTTTCTAAAGACAGATTCCAAAAAGCAGAATCATTAGGATAGAACAGGGTTTTTTTAACCTCGGCAGTGCTGACATTTTGGTACAGGTAATTCTTCTTGCGGAGGTGGGCAGTAAACACGATGTTTAGCAGCATCCCACCCAGGTCTCTACCCATGAGATGACACTGCCAAAACCCACTCTCCCAGCTGTGACAAATAAAAATGCTCCCAAATATTGCAAATGTCCACTGGGAGGCAAAAATCATCACTGTTTGAGGACCACAAGACAGAAGTTTAAACATTTACTATTACTCCTAATGCATTAGGGCTATTCTTTTCTAAATTTGGCAAAATGCCTGCCACTATAATAATGTCATTGTGTCCTTGCAATATTTACCAATATTCTCAATAATAAAAATACCGAAGGGGAGAGGTGAAAAAAGTGAAGGAATTAGGAAAAAACACCACAAAAAACCTCAAACCTCATAGACAACATTATAGTCATTACAACAGGGAATGGGTGAGGGAGGCAGGATTGGATAAACGGGAATAAATAGTGATGGAAAGAGACATGACTTGGGTTGGTGAACACAATACCAATGATGCATTGTAGAATTGTAAATTATATAGGTTTATTGGAATATAATTTAAACCTATGTAATTTTATTAACTAATGTAATCCCAATCAATTAAAAAATAATACTGTGCTCCAAGGCATATGTTTAGAGTTTGATAGTTATTGCTGGCCATTCTTAAACCTAACGTTGCCTTCTGGACAACCTGACAAAGTAACAGAAATACTGAGTCCCATGAAACTGAAGTAACCATTCATGCATAGCAAGCTTTTTCTCTTCCTCCTCAAATAACACACACACACACACACACACACACATACACATCATGCATTCTCAATGGGGATAGCAAACTGGTTCTTGGGAGGGCAAAAATAATCCTAGATATTATAATGGTTTGTGGCCTCCCAAAAGGCCACTGTATATTAACAGATACACAGTATATTTGTGGTAACAAAATACCATGCAGGGCAATAGAGGGTAAATATCTGAAAAGGCCCTTTGGGAGGCAATAATGAAAAAAAAAAAGTTGAGAAACACTTAGATGATACATGTATTATATTGAGGAAAATAAATATTATTTATATGTACTTGGTTTTGGTGAGTTATACAGGACACTTATTTAACACCTCTTGCTTACTAGAAACTGTTAAGGATCATTCAATT